TGCAGGCTCGGCGGCGGCAGCTGCTGCAGGTCGAGCGGCGGCTGCTGCTGCAGGCTCGGCGGCGGCCGCTGCTGTAGGCTCGGCGGCGGCTGCTGCTGCAGGGTCGGCGGCGGCTGCTGCTGCAGGCTCGGCTGCTGCAGCTGCTGCAGGTCGAGCGGCGGCTGCTGCTGCAAGCTCGGCGGCGGCAGCTGCTGCAGGTCGAGCGGCGGCTGCTGCTGCAGGCTCGGCGGCGGCAGCTGCTGCAGGTCGAGCGGCGGCTGCTGCTGCAGGCTCGGCGGCGGCAGCTGCTGCAGGTCGGCGGCGGCTGCTGCTGCAGGCTCGGCGGCGGCAGCTGCTGCAGGTCGGCGGCGGCTGCTGCTGCAGGTTCGGTGGCGGCAGCTGCTGCAGACGAAGTCGAAGCCGCGAAGGGGCGGCTGAGGGATCGCGCGCGGGCGGCTAGCGGGTCACGCGCGCGAAGAATCGGCCGCGCGCGGGCGGCTAGCGAGGCGCGCGCGCGAAAAATCGGCCGCGCACGGGCGGCTAGCGAGTCGCGCGCGTTAAAAAAAAAAACGCGCCGCGCGCGGGTGGCTAGCGGGCTGCGTGCGCGCGGTAGGTAGAGGCGCACGAGGGCGCTAAGGCGCACGAGGGCGCGCGGTAGGTAGAGGCGCACGAGGGCGCTAAGGCGCACGAGGGCGCGCGGTAGGTAGGGGCGCACGAGGGCGCTCGGTAGTGAGAGGCGCACGAGGGCGCACGAGGGCGCACGAGGGCGCACGAGGGCGCACGATAGGTAGGTAGGTAGGTAGGTAGCGGTGGGCCCTAGGAGCGGTCCTAGCAAAGGACCTGCTCTGATACCATGTCAGAATGAACAGGCAGGAATGAGTGAACTAGCAGCATGCAGGAGTACAAGTAGTAAACCCTAATTTGGGTTGTACCCCATATGGGCTACCCCACTACAGCCTAGACAGTATGCAGCACATATGTTTGAACGTTTTTCTTCATGTCCGCAAAATATTTTTTTCAAAATGTTTAAGCTAGAATTAATTCAAATGGACAACGTAATTGGCACACGTGTGCGACGAGAAATGATAGAACATGTTGGTCAATATTCTGCTAAAGATATGTTGAATACTGATACACGTCGATTATTACAAAAGAATGATACGTTGTTCAACGAATTCAAAAGTCTTCGCATGTCGCCGCAGTACCTAGAGAATTGTATGAAAGATCTGTTCGCGATGATACGTCAGCTAGGTCCGCCAACATTTTTTTTAACAATATCTATGGCCGATACAAAATGGATCGACTTGCACGTTGTTCTACTGAAACATAACAGAAATACAGGAAATTTAGCTAATCTTTCAAATCCCAATTTAATTCCTCCTTTAGATTTTGAAACTATAGCTTTGCTCGTACGTACATACCTTGTAGTTAGCGCGCGGTACTACGGCGAACGAAAAAATGCTTTGTTTCGAGAGATTTTAACAAAAAAAAAACGGAATTCTGGGAGGAATTGTAGACTATTTTGCTCTCGACGAGTTTCAACATCGAGGTGCCCCTCATACTCATTGCCTAATATGGAGTGAGTTTTTAGCTTGCGATGCTGCAATTCCTCTAGAAAAGATTCTTGCATTTGCCGATAAGCACATATCGTGTCACGCACAAGAACTTGCTGGAGATTCGCTAACAAACGACCTATTGAAAGTGCAAACTCATAACCATACGAGAACGTGCAGAATAAAAAAAGAATCGGTCATCGCGTAAATGCCGTTTTGGTATACCTAAGTATCCACTTCCGACGACGTTAGTTTTGATGCCTTTTGACAAAAATTGCACCGATGTGGAAAAACATAGGTTAAATAAAAAGACAGTAGATGAATTTTTAAACACTCTTGGGAAGAATCACCTCATCGAAACTTCGAACTTAACTTTTGCCTTATTTCTGGACACGGTGCGCCTAACTTACGACGATTATATTAGTTGTCTGCGTGTAGGCCTAAAAAAACGAACGCTTTTTCATGCCAGAGATGTACGGGATTGTTACGTGAACAACTTCAATAAATTAATACTTTCTGTTTGGCGAGGTAACATGGATATTCAATTGTGTATCGACCCATATAGTGTGGCAACATATATTGCTGCATATATGACGAAATCAGGTAAAGGTGTAAGTAAGATTATTGAGAATGCAAGAAGATTTGCCGCTGTGCAAGGTACGGGTGTTTTACACGTTCTTCGAGACATTGGAAACTACCTATTAAACACCCAAGAAATTAGTGCACAAGAAGCTATTTATCTTATTCTGAGCCTTCCATACAAGAAAACCTCTCGTGGTTTTGTATTTATTAATACAAACCATCCACGCAGACGGTTGTTATTGTTGAAGACAAAGATTGAATTGGAAGGGCTGGATCCTCAATCGAATGATATTTTTACACCATATGCTTTATTGGATCGATATATGAATCGACCAATAGCTATGGAGGTCGTTTGTTTTGCAGATTTTTCATCTGAGTATGAGGAAACAAGTGATAAAGCCCATATAGGTCCTGATATTTCTTCCAAAAGACGATTTTATCGCAAACGATCAATGAGAAAGATCATTCGATACGTCAACTATCATAGTGATGTCGACAATGTCAAACATTATATATGTTGTGTTTGTTTAGGCTACAGTGGGTTAGCCTATAGGGGGTACACAATTCTAGGGTTAGGTACTTGTACTGATTTCACTGCTAGTTCAATCATTCCTGTCTGTTGATTCCGACATGGTTTCAGAGCAGGTCCTTCGCTAGGACCGTTCTTAGGGCCCACCGCTACCTACCTACCTACCTACCTACCTACCGTGCGCCCTCGTGCGCCTACGCGCCCCAGTGCGCCTCCTACCTACCGCGCGCGCGCAGCCCGCCAGCCAATCGCGCGCGGCTCGTTTTCTATTTTTATTATTATTATTATTATTTATTTTTTAACCGCGCGCGACCCGCTAGCTGCCCGCGCGCGGCCGATTTCTTTTGAGCGCGACCGGCTAGCCGCCCGTGCGCCGCTCGCACCGCTATAGCGCAGCCCGCAGCAGCCCGCAGGCCTGCACATTGCCGCCCGCCCGCTGCAGCGCCCGCCCGCTCGTCGCCCGCTGCAGCTGCCGCCCGCTCGTCGCCCGCTGCAGCTGCCGCCCGCTCGTCGCTCGCTGCTGCTGCCGCCCGCTCGTCGCTCGCTGCAGCGCCTGCTCGCTCGTCGCCCGCTGCTGCTGCCGCCCGCTCGTCGCTCGCTGCAGCTGCCGCCCGCTCGTCGCTCGCTGCTGCTGCCGCCCGCTCGTCGCCCGCTGCAGCGCCTGCCCGCTCGTCGCCCGCTGCAGCTGCCGCCCGCTCGTCGCCCGCTGCTGCTGCCGCCCGCTCGTCGCACGCTGCAGCTGCCGCCCGCTCGTCGCCCGCTGCTGCTGCCGCCCGCTCGTCGCCCGCTGCAGCTGCCGCCTGCTTGTCGCCCGCTGCAGCTGCCGCTACCACGGGCCCGCCGCTGCAGCTACCGCCTGCGCGTCGCCCGCAGCCGCTCCCGCTCGTGCGCCGCGGCCGCTACCGCCCGTGCGCTCCTGTTGCGCCTGCTACCGCTGCCGCTGCTGCACTCGCTCCCACTGCGGCCGCCGCTTCTGCGCCCACTGCCGCTCCCGCCCGTGCGCATCAGCTGCTGCCGCCCGTGTGCTGACACTGCCCACAGCTTCCCTGCGGCCTCATTCTTACTGTTTCTACCGCTACTGCTACTGCCGCTATGGCTACTCCTACTGTACTTACTTTCGATGCTGAGGGCCGTCCAGTGAAGTTCGAAACCTGGCTCGATGACCTCCACCTCTTTCTACAGCTCACTGCTAAGGAGGACGTTTCACTGTACGATCACGCCCTAGGCAACGCTACTGCCCCTCCTACCACTGCTGACAGCACTCAGCGCTCACAGTGGCAGACTCGTGACGCCCACGCTCGCTTCGCTATTCGTAACTCCCTACCGATCGACGAGCGCGAGCACTTTGGCCAGCACAAAACTGCTAAGGACCTGTACACTGCTGTAGTCGCTCGCTACTCCTCCCCCGCTTCTGCCACACTAGGCCGCCTCACTCTCCCCTACCTGTTCCCCGACCTGGCCTCCTTTCAGACAGTTGCTGACCTCATCACCCACCTTAAGACCAGTGAGGCCCGCTTTCGCGCTGCTATGCCTGACGAGTTCCTCACCAGCAACCCCCCCCGCTCTGGATCACTCTCTACCACATAGTCACCCGCCTCCCCGACTCCCTGCGCACAGTCAGGGACCACTTCCTCTCTCGCTCCCCCACTAAACTCACCATTGCCCTTCTCAAGAAGGAACTGCTTGCAGCTGAGGCGAGCATCGTCGCTGTAGGCACCTCTCGTGGCGACCCCCGCACCCCGTTCTTTGAGGGGTGTTCCCCTTCCCCTCTCCTCCCCTCTGTCGCCTCTGCTGCTGCTGTCGACCTCCTTGGTGCTGAGAAGGTCGGGGCCGCGTCTGCTTCGAGCGGGCGCCGCAAGAGCAAAGGGGGCAAGGGTGGAGGTGGCGGCGGAGGAGGTGGGGGTGGAGGCGGTGGGAGTGGAGGAGCGGCTGGGGAGGCTAGTGGCGGCAGTGGGGGTGGTGACAGCAGCGGCGGGAGTGGCGGCAGGGGTGGAGGCGGCAGCGGAGGCGGAGGTGGTCGTGGCAGCGGCAGGGGTGGAGGTGGCCGAGGCGGTGGCGGCGGCAGTGGTGGTCGTGGAGGCGCTGGCGGTGGCCAGAGTCAGCAGCCCGCCCCGTCGCTTCAGGCCGCCCGTGAGTGGTATGCGCAGCGTGGCTTTACCTGCACGTACGTCATTCGCACTGGTGACCGCACTGGCCAGCAGTGTGGGAGGCCGCATCCCACACATTGCTGTTTCGCGCGCCTTACTGACGCGTGGCGTGCCCAGTTTCCTGATGCCACTGACCTGCCCCGCTGGGCTGATCTGGAGAAGAAGGGAGTTGATATCTGGGCTTTAGACTTTGATGCTATTCTCACTGCCATGTATGCGATGTTTACTAGTGGAGAGGGTGCTCAGTACTTGCGTGTTCCGCCCGACCCGGGCATTCAGACCAGTCCGGCTGCCGCTCTAGGTGCTAGTGAGTCTGCTGCCCCAGGTCCTGGTGAGGCTGCTGCTGCTCTAGGTGCTAGTGAGTCCGTGCCCTCTGGTACTGAGTCGACTGCAGCACTGCACACCTTCACACTGGACTCAGGTGCTTCTCGCTGTTTCTTTCGTGACCGCACTGTCCTTGAGCCGCTTGCTCGGCCAGTTGCTGTCTCCCTCGCTGACCCCTCTGGGGGTCCGGTCGTTGCGACCTCCTCCACTGTCCTTCCTTGTCCTGCGGTCCCGTCAGGCACACTGTCAGGTCTCTACCTCCCCTCGTTCTCTACGAACTTGGTGGCAGGTAGTGCGCTCCAGGACGGGGGTGTTCACCAGTTCACCCCTGCTTACGAGCGCGTGACCCACTGCACGTGTGCTCGGACGGGCCGTCACCTGGCTACCTTCACTCGGCAGCCGGGGTCGGACCTGTACACACTGACCACTAAGTCCCCTCAGGTAGCTGCGTCCGCGTCTGCGTCTGCGTCAGGTCAGCTGTCCGCCCCCTGCTCGTGTCGCTCTCTGGCGCATGAGACTGTCCTCTGGCACCACCGCCTTGGTCACCCGTCTGTGCAGCGCCTTCGGGCCATGCACAAACGGGACCTTGTTGCTGGTCTTCCCAGGGTTCTCCCTCCCCTCCCACCCTCGCCTGCTCCTCCCTGTCTTCCCTGTGTCGAGGGGCGGCAGCGCGCCGCTCCTCACTCCTCCTCCTTCCCCCCGACGACTGCTCCTTTGCAGACGCTCCACATGGACGTGTGGGGCCCAGCCCGCGTCCGTGGTCAGGGTCAGGAGAGGTACTTCCTGATTGTTGTTGACGACTTCTCGCGCTACACCACGGTCTTCCCCTTGCGCGCCAAGGGTGACGTCCCTGATGTCTTGATCCCTTGGATCCGCAGATCTCGTCTCCAGCTCAGTGAGCGTTTCCGCTCCGACTTCCCTATCCTGCGTCTGCACTCTGACAGAGGTGGGGAGTTTTCCTCTGGCCTCTTGGAGGCCTTCTGTCAGCAGGAGGGCATTGAGCAGTCGTTCACACTTCCGGCCTCTCCACAGCAGAATGGGGTTGCTGAGCGCCGCATTGGCTTGGTCATGGAGGTCGCTCGTACCTCCTTGGTTCATGCGGCTGCCCCCCACTTTCTGTGGTCGTTTGCAGTCCGATACGCTGCGCATCAGCTCAACCTCTGGCCACGTGTCTCCTTACCGGAGACTTCTCCGACACTGCGTTGGACGGGAGAGGCTGGCGATGCGTCGCGTTTTCGGGTCTGGGGATCTCGAGCTTTTGTTCGCGATACGTCCGCGGACAAGCTCTCCCGTCGAGCTGTCCCCTGTGTCTTCCTTGGCTTTGTCCCAGACGCGCCTGGTTGGCAGTTCTACCACGCCACCTCGCGTCGTGTCCTGGCCTCTCAGGACGTCACTTTTGACGAGTCCGTCCCCTACTACCGCCTCTTCCCCTACCGCACTGCCCTGCTCCCCCCCCGCCTCTCTTCCTCGCTCCAGGTGCTGAGGTACCAGACCCCCTCCCCCCTCAGGGTGCCGCTCCCTCAGGTGTGTCCCAGGTAGACCCGGTTGAGCCTGTCGAGGTAGCTGTTGACTCTCGTCCTGCTGGGGGTGCTGAGCCTGACCGTGAGGAGTCTGAGGGTACTGAGCCTGGGGGTGCGGAGCCTGGGGGTGCGGAGCCTGGGGGTGCGGAGCCTGGGGGTGCGGAGCCTGGGGGTGCTGAGTCTGGGGGTGCTGAGCCTGGAGGTGCTGAGCCTGGGGGTGCTGAGCCTGAGGGTGCTGAGTCTGGGGGTGCTGAGCCTGAGCGTGCTACACCTGGAGGAGCCCTCTCCTCCCAGCAGCTGCAGGAGAGGTACCTACAGTACTGCCGCCTCCGGAGAGGTGCTACTGGAGCTCGTACCAGTACTTCCCCTCCTGCCCAGGAGCTCCCCCCCATTCAGCAGATCCGAGAGTGGTACACACGGCGCTGCAGTCTTCGGAGTGGTGCTCCTGGTGCTGCGGACCCTGGGGGTGGCGCTGCTACTGGTGCTGAGGACCCGGGCGTTGGAGCTGCTGCTGGTGCTGCGGACCCGAGCGGTGGCGCTGCTGCTGGTGCTGAGGACCCGGGCGTTGGAGCTGCTGCTGGAGCTGAGGACCCGAGCGGTGGAGCTGCTGCTGGTGCTGAGGACCCGAGCGGTGGAGCTGCTGCTGGTGCTGAGGACCCGGACGTTGGAGCTGCTGCTGGTGCTGAGGACCCTGCCGCTGGTGTCTCTGCTGGTTCTGGAGACGCTACGCGGCCGCGACCGTACTTCGTACCACTTCTTCAGCAGGTTCTTGGTCAGGCTCCTCCTCCTTGTCCTCCTCCCTCCGTAGAGTGTCTTCCGCCTGTCCAGTCGCAGTCACAGTTCCCGCCTGCCTCGCCTCTCCCTGGTCCCTCTCCTTACACTGGTCCCACAGGAGGTCTTACAGAGCGTCGTGAGCCTGAGTCTCGTCCTGCGTCGCCTGTTCGTACTGCTCGCACTGGTCGTCGTGTCCCACGTGAGCGTCCTCCTCCTGTCCCTGGCACTCACTACATGACTCTGCGTCCCTCCACTACTCCTCAGCGTGTCCTGCTGCCGTCTCCTCCTGCGTCCTCTCTGCCTACTCTTCCTGATCCGGAGTCTGACTCCCGTCGTGCTGCCAGTCCCACTGTCACCTGTCTCCTCGCTACTGTTGTCACTGACCCTACCTTTGAGTCCTCTGCTGCGTCTGCTCTGGTCGCTGAGTTGATAGACTTTGCTGCCCGGTGTCGTCTAGACTACGCCACTAGCCTTGTTGCAGAGTCTGAGTCTGAGTCTGTCTGTCCTCCGTCCGTCGGAGGTGAGTGTGCTCTTGGCACGGACGTCCTAGAGGACAGGCAGGAGGAGTTCCAGTGCTTTGCTGCTGCTTTACCCCACCTCGTGTCCATGCTAGTTGCCCCTGAGGGAGACCCGGATGCACCAGACATCCCGACCCCGCGCACTTACGCTGAGGCGATGGCGGGTCCCTACTCTCTCAGTGGCAAACAGCCATGGACGCAGAGATGGCATCCTGGAAGTCCACAGGCACCTACGTCGACGAGGTTCCCCCACCTGGGGCGAACATCGTCAGTGGCATGTGGATTTTCAGGGTGAAGCGGCCACCGGGTTCTCCTCCTGTCTTCAAGGCGCGCTACGTGGCTCGAGGCTTCAGTCAGCAAGAGGGAGTTGACTTCTTTCAGACCTTCTCCCCCACCCCGAAGATGACCACTCTTCGGGTGCTGCTGCACATAGCCGCTCAGCGCGACTACGAGCTTCACTCACTTGACTTCAGCACTGCTTTCTTGCAGGGCAGCCTGCACGAGGAGATCTGGCTGCGCCGCCCTCCTGGCTTCACTGGGTCGGTTCCTCCTGGTACCCAGTGGAGGCTTCAGCGGCCGGTCTACGGTCTCCGCCAGGCACCACGTGAGTGGCACGACACACTGAGGACGACACTTGCGGCTCTTGGGTTCGCTCCCTCTACTGCTGACCCGTCACTGTTTCTACGCACAGACACCTCACTGCCGCCGTTCTACATCCTCGTGTACATCGACGACTTGGTCTTTGCTACTGCTGACACCGCGGCACTCGCCCACGTGAAGTCGGAGCTGCAGAGGAGACACACGTGCACAGACCTAGGTGAACTGACAAGCTATCTTGGCTTGCGGATCACCCGGGACAGAGCACGGCGCACCATCACCTTGACTCAGTCACACATGGTGCAGCAGATCCTTCAGCGCTTCCGCTTCACGTACTCCTCGCCTCAGTCCACTCCTCTGCCTACCGGTCACTCGCTCTCAGCTCTGCCTTCGGATGAGTCCGTAGAGCCGAGTGGCCCGTATCCAGAGCTGGTGGGCTGCCTCATGTACCTGATGACCTGCACTCGACCTGACCTTGCATACCCTCTTAGCATCCTTGCACGCTATGTCGCTCCTGGCCGTCACAGGAAGGAGCACATGGATGCCGCTAAGAGGGTGTTGCGCTACTTGTGCAGTACGTCGGGCATGGGGCTTGTGCTTGGAGGGCGAGACCGAGTTGTACTTACTGGACACTCAGACGCTTCTTGGGCGGACGACCAGGCTACTCAGCGGTCGTCTCAGGGTTACACCTTCAGCCTTGGCTCAAGCTCAGTTTCTTGGCGTTCTACACGCTCTTCTTTTGTTCTCAGCTCCAGTTGTGAGGCTGAGATCTACGCCACAGCCATGGCTGCCCAGGAGCTACGCTGGCTGACCTACCTGCTGACCGACTTGGGAGAGCGGCCTCGTTCTCCTCCAGTGCTGTACGTCGACAACCAGGCTGCCATTGCCTTGTGTGAGGAGCACAGACTGGAGCACAGAACGAAGCACATCGCCCTGCGGTACTTCCTTGCTCGAGAGCTGCAGCAGCGTGGTCAGCTTCGTCTGCGTTACGTGGCCACTGAGGCCAACCTTGCTGATGTGTTCACCAAGGCGCTTCAGCCTTGTGACCATCAGCGTTTCTGTACTCTTCTAGGCCTTGTGCCTGCTGGACCCCACTTGCTTACTTCTTGACTCTGCTTGTACTGTGATCTTTATATATATGCCTGCATGTTTACACTTGCTAGGTTGTGATCACTGTATCTCTTGTTATATTATCAACCTGCATGTGAACTGGTCTTGTGACCACTTGCTTGTGCTCGGAATTTGTGTGGTATCCTTGAGATCCACCCTGAGCTTGTTTTGCTTTGCTTTGACTGGTCTTGTGACCCCTTGCTCTCCCCCACTTTGCCTATGGGGGTGTGTCAAACATTATATATGTTGTGTTTGTTTAGGCTACAGTGGGTTAGCCTATAGGGGGTACACAATTCTAAGGTTAGGTACTTGTACTGATTTCACTGCTAGTTCAATCATTCCTGTCTGTTGATTCCGACAGACAACGATAACTATATGCGTGAGCAGATATTATTGTTTGTTCCTTTTCATCAAGAAGCTCGTGAGTGAGCGAAGTTGCGCAAATCTATGCCGCGAACGCAGACGTTATATGACCAAGAGGAATGAATACTCGATGAATGGAGATACTTGGATACGTGCACTAGAAGACGCCATCGATGTGGATGACGACGCCGACGATCCTGATATCCAAACATCCCAAATGAAGATGTTGATATTGGCGTCGAACTGGGTTTGACAAATTCGTCCGACCACCGATATTTTTCATACGGTGCAGACAAACGAGAGCGATTATTTATCGATGGAACGCATGTTGAATGCAGAGCAACGAGCGATTGCCGATCACATTGTACGTGGAGTGCGTCGTTCCTTTGAATTTGGACCTTTATCCATATTCGTCAGCGGAGGTGCCGATGGGGTTTGAAAATCTGTTTTATTAGAACCGTTCACGATCGACTATTCGTATATTCCATGCGCAAATTCCACAAACTTTAATACGATAAAGTATGGAAATAGCCCCTTCATGAGTTGCTGCTTTCCAAATAGAGGTTACACAATCCATAACGCTTTTAATGATTCCGGTCGTACAGAATCGTCGCAATAAAAAATTGACTTCGACAGGTTAATACCTTAAGATCCAGACTTGGAGACGTTAAGGTTGTTATTGTCGATAAATATCAATGGTTGGGAAAATACATTCGAATGGATAATTTCAGGCTTCGTGAGCTTACGAATAACGCGAACGTTCCTTTCGGAGGTTTGCACATGGTTTTTTGTTGGAGATTTTCTCCAACTACCTCCTGTGCGTGATATTCATTGTTTCGACGATCGATCGTACCAATCTTTCTTCTCCACGCGATTTAGACATTTGGAGACGTGTACAACTAGTTGGGCTTACGACGATCATGCGGCAAACGCGAAGAGGTCAGATTTTCCGAATTATTAAATCGCTTACGAGAAGGAGCACAACGGTTAAACTGTATTATGCTTCTAGCTGATGGGGTAGCCAATATGGGGTACAACCCCACTAGGTTTCATATTTGTACCCAAACGTCCTGTTAGTTCATTCTTTCTTGCCTAGTGATTCTGACATGGTATCAGAGCGAAGGTCTCGGGTTCGATTCCCGGTGTGTGCACCTCGGGCATCCCAGTGCGGGGGGGGTGTCAGAGGTCCACTGGTGATCCCCGATTGATCCTAGGGAAGGGTTACAGGCATGGCGGCCTGGGGGGTTATGGGCGCACTCACCCGCTACACAAACAAGCCCTTTTATCCCAGTGGTTAGTGGCTGGGATTCTGACATGGTATTCAGAGCAGGAGGTCCCTAGGACCTACCGATCGTTTTTAGGGCCCCCAACGCTCGCATGCGGTTACCACGCTACCCCGTTCCCTAGCCTCGTAGCGCCCTCGTGCGCCCTCGTTAGCGCCCTCGCGCGCACCCTCGTTAGCGCCCTCGCGCGCCCCTCGTCAGCGCCCTCACGCGCCCCTCGTTAGCGCCCTCGCGCGCCCCTTGCTAGCGCCCTCGCGCGCCCCTTGCAGCGTCGCCCCTCGCGCGCCTCTCACTAGCGCCCTCGCGCGCCCCTCGCCGAGCCGCCCGCTCGCAGCCCGCCCGCCCGCTCTCGGCCCGCTTCGCGGCCCGCTCGCTACGCAGCCCGCCCGCCCGCTCGCTGCCCGCTTCGCGGCCCGCCCGCTTCGCAGCCCGCTCGCTCGCTGCCCCCCTTCGCGGCCCGCCCGCTTCGCAGCCCGCTCGCTCGCTGCCCGCTTCGCGGCCCGCCCACTTCGCAGCCCGCCCGCCCGCTCGCTGCCCGCTTCGCGGCCCGCCCGCCTCGCAGCCCGCTCGCCCCGCTGCCCGCTTCGCGGCCCGCCCACTTCGCAGCCCGCCCGCCCGCTCGCTGCCCACTTCGCGGCCCGCTCGCATCGCAGCCCGCTTGCCCCGCTGCCCGCTTCGCAGCCCGCCCGCCCGCCCGCTGCTCGCTTTGCGGCCCCCCGCCTCGCAGCGTCGCCCGCCACCGTGCTGCCCGCTTGCAGCGCCGCCTGCCCGCCGCGCTGCCCGCTTTCCGGCCCGTCCGCCGCGCTGCCCGCTCGCAGCGTCGCCCTCCCGTCGCACTGACCGCTTGCAGCGCCGCCTGCCCGTAGCGCCAGCCTCGCCCGCTGCTCTCTATCCGTGCACAGTCGTCTTCCCCTGCTGCGGCAGCTTTCGTTACTCTGTCACACTGTCGCTATGGCTTCCATTCGCGTGCTGTCGTTCGATGCTGAGGGCCGCCCTGTGCGTTACAACCGCTTGGCTAGATGACCTGCAGCTGTTTCTTCTCGGTTTCTCCTGAGCGATAGCAAGGAGCATGTGTCGCTCTATGACTACGCGTCTGGTGCTGCGCCTGCCCCTCCTGCCACAGCTGAGCTTAGTGTTCGTTCCCACTGGCAGACTCGTGACGCAGCTGCTCGCCTAGCCATTCGCAGTCACCTGCCGTTAGCTGAGCTAGAGCATTTTGGCGACTGCAAATCCGCTAAGGCCCTGTACGACGCTGTCGTCGCTCGCTACTCCTCGCCTGCCACAGCCGAGCTTAGCCGCCTCATGCTGCCGTACCTGTTCCCCGATCTGTCCACCTTTACTACAGTCGCCGATCTTATCACCCACCTTCGCACTAGTGATGCTCGCCTGCGTGCCGCCCTTCCCACCGAGTTCTGCGCTAAGAACCCCCCTCCACTGTACTGGACACTCCACTTCATAGTCACCCGTCTCCCTGACACCCTCCGCTCAGTTCGAGACCACTTCCTTGCTCGCTGTCCCACTGAGCTCACAGTCGCCCTCCTAGAGGAGCACCTGCTCGCGGCCGAAAAGAGCATTGTAGCTGTCGGTGCTGCTCGTGGCGCTCCTCGCACCCCCATCTTTGAGGGGTGTTCTCCCTCTCCCCTCGCTCCCTCCTACGCTGCTGCTGCTGCTGTTGACTTCCTTGGTGCTGAGTCTGTTGGCGCTGCTTCTACTCCTGGTGGGAGGCGCCGCACCGGCAAGGGCAAGGGGGGCAAGGGTGGTGGTGGTGGCGCTGGGGGGGGAGGAGGTGGGGGAGGTGGGGGGGGAGGCGGTGCTGGAGGGAGCGGTGGCGGGAGCGCTGGTGGGAGTGGGGTCGGTGGTGGAGGCGGGGGCGGCGGAGGGACCAGTGGCAGTAGTGGCGGCGGCGGCGGTGGCGGCGGTGGCGGTGGTGGCGGTGGTGGCGGTGGCGGTCGGAGCGTGTGAGTGGTGGCGGCGGAGGTCGGAGTGGAGGCACTGGCTCTGGCCAGAGCTCCCAGCAGCAGCGTCCCCAGACGACCCAGCAGCTTCGTGAGTGGCTTGCTCAGCGTGGGACGTCGGGGGCCAGTGCCCGCTGTTCTTATGTCATTCGCACAGGTGACCGCAAGGGACAGACGTGTGGGAGGTTCCACACCCCGTACCGCTGCTTCTCCCGCCTTGATGACGCTTGGCGTGAGGAGATGGGTGCGGATGTTGAGCGCCCCCGCTGGGCTGAGCTCATGAGGGCTGGTGTTGATGTCTTTGCTCTTGACTATGATGCTATTATTGCTGCCATGTATGCATTGACTGTTAGTGCCGAGGGAGACTGTTACTTGTGTGTGCCGCCTGACCCAGGTATAGAGCCCGCTGCCCGCTGCCCTGAGTACTATGAGTCTGCTCTCTCTGGTATGGTGCCCCGTGTACTTGCTCCCTCCAGTGCTGTCCCGACTGGTTTCGAGTCTGCTCTCTCAGGTACAGCACCCACAGAGACTGCTCTCTCAGGTACCGCACCGGCTGAGGCCTGTCACACCTTCACCCTTGACTCAGGTGCTTCCCGTTGCTTCTTTCGTGACAGTACTGAGCTCACCAGCTCCCTGCACCGGTCCCAGTCTCCTTGGCTGACCCCTCTGGGGGCCCAGTCCTTGCCCAGTCCACCACTGTCCTCCCTTGTCCGGCGGTTCCGTCTGGCTCGTTGTCGGGTTTCCACCTCCCCTCGTTCTCGACGAACCTGGTGAGCAACGCTGTCCTCCAGGATCAGTGGGTTGACACCTTTACCCCTGGCGGACAGCGTGTGGCGATCTGCACGTGCTCCAGGACTGGCCGTCACCTGGCTACGTTCACCCGTCGGCCGGGGTCGAGTCTCTACACACTGACCACTGCGTCTCCCCAGGTAGCTGCTGTCGGTCAGGTGTCTGCGTCAGGTCTGGTGGCCCACGCCTGTGAGTGTCGTTCCCTGTCGCACCAGACTCTTCTCTGGCACCACCGCCTGGGTCACCCCTCCTTGCCACGCCTTCGTGGCATGCACCGTCGCCTCCTTGTGTCCGGTCTTCCCCGGTCCCTCCCTCCCCTACCTGCCTCGCCTGCGCCGCCTTGCCTTCCTTGCGTCGAGGGGCGGCAGCGCGCCGCTCCTCACTCCTCCTCGTTCCCCCTGACAGAGGCTCCTCTGGAGACCCTCCACCTGGACGTGTGGGGCCCAGCCCGCGTTCGTGGTCAGGGCGGTGAGCGGTATTTTTTGCTGGTTGTCGACGACTACTCGCGTTACACCACGGTCTTCCCCTTGCGCACCAAGGGTGAGGTCCCTGCTGTTTTGATCCCTTGGATCCGCACGGTTCGTCTCCAGCTCCGCCGCCGTTTCCGGAC